AATGCATAGAAACAGTGTTGCTATCACTTCTAAGAACTTGGTTCTGGTTAGAACATAAATGAATGCTTATGTCTCAAACCATCCTTCAATCCCCTGAATTTCGGACACATAAATAACAATAAAGACAAAAAAATGGATGAATGTTAATGAAGTTAATGATGCAAAGAGGTTAAGGACATTAACAGCCACTAACGTCACAGAAATGTACGAACCGAACCTTGTTCGTTCAACTGGCCGAAGTGGACCAGATCAACGCACTGATTCGCAAAATGTTACAAACATGAAGACATTAAAACTGGGGGAGGAATCCTCTCCGACATTATGATCTACCTGAAAATGATGCTTTGCAAGTCGAAGGGATACTCAATAATCCCTGTGGTAGGGATGCGAACCCTAAGCACGTCTTGCTGAGTCGGCAGATACGACGGGTCTGCGATACGGTCCAAATCGCTTAGATAGCTAGAGACAAGGAGAGACGGAGAGAGAAGGAAGAAGAAAGAATCAAGCATGGCAGCAGATCCCTAGAAAAACATTGAGGGAACGCTGCTTGGGATCCTGGGATGCGTCCCCACAACCTTCTGCTTACTCCTCTGACACTCTCTACCGAGAGTTCCCCAAAAACAACACTCTTTAAGAGTTGCAAAGAGACAACAATAGCAAAGGTTTAGCCCTGGGTGGGTGTGAAAATGCAATCAGGGAAGGCAGCAGTGCAGTTGCAGCAGCAGGTTAAAGGTCAGGAGACAGCGGCGGCAGTGTAGGTGTGCCGTGGGATTGGCGATACCTGAAGATTATATTTTCCAGGTCAAAGGGATACTCTATGATGCCAGTAGTGGGCACTCGGACCCTCAGCACATCCTGCTGGCTGGGCACATATCCCGGAGACGATATACGCTCTAAATCGCTAAGGTAACTGTGGGATGAACCGGTGAGAAACAGAGGCATGTACATGTGTATATCTACAACTATATAAGTAGTCCAAAATGGAAACTCACAAAAATTGTCAACTTTTCATATTTTCCAGGCAGTTTTGGAAAAACTGTAGAATGGATTTAAATATGGTTAAAAAAAGCATATTAAAAGTATAAATCTGTAAATATTTAAATCCCAAAATAAACATTTTAACTCATCCTCATCGTTCCAAACCGGTCTGATTTTCTCTCGTGGAACACAAAAGAAAGTTTAAAGAATTTGTATGCGTTGTTTAAACTTGTCTTAAACTTACATTTTTAAGGGGGTTCTAAGTAGGACTGCAAATCGATTTGTGGCTCGATTCTGAGATCTTCCAAATGCATCGCGATTCTCTCTG